GTTTTGCTCATGTCCCACACCACTGCATAGGCAATTTAAAGATTCTAATAAGAAAGAATATGTGGGTTTTCTAAATGCAAACAAAATATTTAAAAATAATTAATTCATTTTAAAAAGGGTATTTCCTGCATGGGACCATGTTCAACACCCAAGTGCTTCTCTAGATCATTGCAATCTTTAGATCATAAGCCTCCCAGCTCATGCTCATATCATTACATAATTTATGTAAAAACTTAAGTGGAAAAGGAAGCACTACACTTTACCAATGAGCTTCCCAAAAATCAGCAGTAAAATGAAATTGAAGTCCCGGGCTCTATTTCAACCTCTCAAGGACTGTACATTGTAAACAGATCCTTTTGCTCCAACACTTTGAGTCTATCATCTTAATCAAGTATACTCAAAGGTCCAAGCCCTGAAACAGGTAGCTGTTTAACAATTAACTTAAAAACAAAGACCATCACTCTGCTCGCCCCAAAAATCTTCCTTTTTGAAGAAAATGCATTATAAGGACACATCTTGTCAGACAAGCACCATTTTCAAATGAATGGAATTCCTTCCCAATTCAATAAGCAATTCATGTGTCATAAACACAGCTGCAATTCAGAATACTGATGTCTACTGACAACCATCTAACAGAGCTGAGAAGTTCCATCCTTCTATGTTAACTTCTACATGAGAACCAAAGAACTTCCTACCAATGTAGAACAGCATTCCTAAGGCTCAAGTAACACCTTTCATCTGTGCCTTACTTCAGCTCTAAATGTGAAATTCTCTAAAAGACTAACAATTCATTTTGAAAACAATAAATTAAATTACAGTACTTGATGTTTTCCACTACAGAAGTTACTATTAGTTTTGCAATTACCATCTGTTGGAGAATTGACCTCTGTTCTAACTTTTGATTTTTCAAGATCTTCTTTGTATTCCTTCTTCAACTGTTTTACAATCTTTTTGCTGTAACTTGATTTCTTCACTTTGAAAACTTCTTCCGTTTCTTTAAAAGAGAAATTGGATAACATTACATGAGATCTGTCAAGCATACTTATTTATTTAATCTTTAAATTTTGTACCTGGAACCTCACAAATGCCATTAAAAAACCATTAATGGATGCCATTGTAGGGTTCTTTCACAGTCTCTAGTGAAAGTCTAATTTTACACCTTCTATAAAGATTTCAAATCACAACTCTTAGAAACCAAGTTTCAGTGATTTCAAGATAATTCCTTCTAAGACAACTCAAAACTGTGAACTGTTCGTACAACAGGCAGTGAGTCCGAGGTGACATGTGAACACCAGCCAGATTAAAACCACCTCGACAGAAAGCCACGGCACCGATGCTCCTCAGCTAACACCGATGGCTCCAGGGGGAGGCTACAGGCTGCACGAACCTGGGGCATCCCAGGCGCAGCAAACGCAGCACAAGCGATGCACCAGCAACACAGCAGCATCTGAACCCCTCCACCACAGCTAACCCCGCTGGAAGCATGCTGGCCCCGCAGGGGACGGGGGAGGCCCGTGCTCTCAGTCCCCTGGGCGGCCTGGGGCGATGTGGGATCACATAAGACGGGGCGAACCCTGACTGCCCTAAAAAACAAATACGGATCCTGCTCGCTCGGAAGGCCTGGAGAGGCCCAGCGCAGGCTGGGCAGCTCCGCTTCTCTTTCACGACCCAAAAGCCAGGCAACCATCTCTGCCTCACCCTCCTCCTCGTCCTGGAAGCTGAGCAGGCTGGCCCTCGGCACCTCTTTGTTCTCCCGCGAGCGCTTCTTCTCCTTGGGGCGCCCGGCAGCCGGCAGCCCATTGCCCTGCTGCGGCGGCGGGCGCAGGGCAGCGGGCGCTGCCAGAGCCCCCAGCCCCGCTCGGTCGCCTCCCATCAAGCCCAGCCCCAAGCCGAGAGCCGCCCCGTAGCTGGCGGCGCAGGCGAAAGCCGCGGGGCTGCCGGGCAGGGCGAGGGGCACGCAGCCGGCGGGCAGCGGCAGGAGCCCGGCGCCCGGCGGCGCGGAGGCCTCGCTGGGCCCTTCCCCCGCCGCCGCGGCCGCCGGCTCCTGAGGCGGCTCCTCGTCGCGCTCCTCATCCTCCTCCTCCGAGTCGTTCCGCTTGCGCACGTTCACCCTCCGCGCCTTGCGGAACATGCCGCCAGCACCCCCCGGCCGCCCCGCCAGGCCCCGGCGCCGCCCGCCCCGCGCTGCGGCCCCGGCCCAGGCCCGGCCCCGCCAGCATGGCCGCGCCGCCCGCAGCGCCCCCTGCCGCCCGCTCCGCCAGCGGCGGGCCGGGGAGCGGCACGGCGCCTGCGCGGCGGCAGCGCGCCCGGCCCGCCCCCGCTGCCTCCCCTCACGGCCGGCGCCATCTTGTGCCGGCAGCGGGGCGGGGGGAGGGCGGCGGGAGCGTGAGGTGGCTTACGTGACGAACGACAACCACTTGTTTTTTAAACTATTACAAGTTTAATAATAATAAAATTGTTATAAAAATAGTAATACAATTAGAGTAATAAAGTTTACAGTTAAGACAATTGCAAGACAATAAAGAGCAAAGAATTACGGACATCCGGATGCTCTCGGACACTAAGCCACAAAAAGCATTCCTTGTGAACAAAGGAATAACCTTAAAAACAATAGCCTGATGCATATTCATATATCCTTCATGGTTATGCATACATTCTATTCAAAACAAGAACTCTGTTGTATGTCCACTGTTTCCTTTAATCCCCAAGGCGTTTTCGAGTCTGAGCAAGGCCTGAAGAAATGCGCTTCTTCTGATAAGAAAACCATAAATTCCTTTTCTTGGAAAGATTTAAGTGTTCCTCAAAGCGAGTATCTCATTCAAAAAAAAAACAAAAAACAAACTCCCCCAACATACATTGTCTCTATTTTAACATCATGTTGTAACCTCAAACTACGTTTATCACACTGCTTAAGAGAATTAATACAGCATAACATTCTAACATTACACATATAATATTCATTGTAACATTTGCGAAAAGCCAATAATAAAATATGCATTTTTTCACAAGAGCAACATCTCCAAAATGCATCTACGTCTGGTATAATAAATTTTATACAACACACTCATCTTGCATGATGAACCTTTTCTTTAATACAAGTGTGAAAAATGCATTTTTTCACAAGAGCAACGTCTCCAAAATGCATCTACGTCTGGTATAATAAAACAAATTTTATACAACACACTCATCTCGCATGATGAACCTTTTCTTTAATATAAGTGTGAAAAATGCATATTTTCACAAGAGCAACGTCTCCAAAATGCATCTACGTCTGGTATAATAAATTTTATACAACACACTCATCTCACATGATGAACCTTTTCTTTAATATAAGTGTGAAAAAATGCATATTTTATTATTGGCTTTTTGCAAATGTTACAATGAATATTATATGTGTAATGTTAGAATGTTATGCTGTATTAATTCTCTTAAGCAGTGTGATAAACATAGTTTGAGGTTACAACATAATGTTAAAATAGAAATTCTGCAATATAGGATTTGTTACAAGTTCAAGTGAGAAGATGAGATAATCAAGAAACTCTTCACACAGAGATGTCAGCAAAAGGGGCCCATAGAAAGTTACAGCCTCCTTATCAGAAAAGACATATATTCTTCTACCTTCTCTCCATCTTTTTGGAACCACCAAGATTAAGAAGAAGAAATTGATAAAAACCAGAAAAGTTCTTAATTTGCAAGGAATTTATGCATCATGTATGAGATATATGAATATGCAACAAGTGTATTGTTTTAAGGTTATTCCTTTGTTCACAAGGAATGCTCTTCATGACTTAGTGTCCGAGAGCATCTGGACCTCCGTAATTCTTTGCTTTTTATTGTCTTATAATTGTCTTAACTGTAAACTTTATTACTCTAATTGTAATACTATTTTTATAACCATTTTATTCTTATTAAACTTTTAAAATTTTAAAAACCAAGTGATGGGCGTTTTTCACACTCTGGAAAAATTCTGTGAGCTTCTAATGCAATACTTCTGTAGCGCAAAGCCCTATAAAATAGAATTGGTAGCAGGTTTTTGGTATCTGCTGGGCCAGAACGGGGCTGCTGGGAAACTCACCACAATATCTGGGCTGTGGATTTCTGTAGTTGAGAATTTTTTCCTGGAAACAGCAAACTGCAGTGCTTACTTGGGCACTGGAATAAAATGTCTTTTTGCACCAGCCTTATTCAGAACACTACAGTGGCAAAAGTAACTAGAAATTTAATTTGCTCTGTTAGAAAGCCCATGGATTTATTAACTTCATTTTTTCCCAACAAGGCCAGAATACATACATCCTCAGCTACTGCTGCATGTGTGAATTTTTGGACACCGCTGTCATGGTAGTGGGGAATTACTGTGATTTCAGCACATTTGCCTGTGTCTGTAATAGACAGTCATGAGAGGTATCACTGGAAATATTTGTAATTTGGAGAAAAAGGCTTATGGTTTGTTGCCAAGGGGCTGACAAAGGGAACAATGTCTTTACAACAGCTGATTCAATTGTTCTCTGGCTGAGTTAAATGGAGTTCGGTACCCAGCTTTCATTAACCAGTGTGCTTAAATCTATTTGCAATTGCAAATAGACCCCATTAATTCCATCATTAGCACATTGCTGATTTCAGTGGGAAAGGTCACAGTAATGGGGGGTGGGAATGTATTTAAGTCTTCTGAAAAATTAAGTTTTGCTTTCTAGCAAAACTGCTCCATCATTGATTACAGTTGTATCAATATGACTATTTAAAATAGAAATAGTCTTTCTTTAAAATTGCAGCAGCTTCACTTCCTCAGAGTTCCTCTGGTTCCTCAGAATCTTGATAGCCATTCCCTTAAGTGCACAGAGAATCATGGAATCCCAGACTGGTTTGGGTTGGAAGGGCCCTTAAAGACAACCCAGTTCCATCCCCCCTGCCATGGGCAAGGACACCTTCCACTGGACCAGGCTGCTCAAAGCTTCACCCAGCCTGGCCTTGGACACTCACAGGGATGGAGCAGACACAGCTTCTCTGGACAGAAGTTTTCTTATATTTTATCTCAGTTTCATGTAATTCACTGCTGCCAGTGCAAGGCTCTTATTTCAAAGCCTTTATTGTACTGTGTGAATGGATCCAGCCTTAGTCATATCTCACAGAATTCAAACCTGCAGACATGGGCAAGGAGCAGACTTTGGGCTATTTTAATAGTCTTGGTGTAGGTTTTTTAGGGGATGACAACCTTTCTCATGCAACACATCTGAAAATTATCTGCCCAAAGCCTCACCTCCCTTGTCAGATGAGAGTCATTTCATGGAGTATTTCTTCTCTCTCATATGGGAGAACATGAGCAATTTGCCATTGTCACAGATGTTGAAGCTCCGTCCATTTGGGGAAATTGCAGATGACAGTACATCCATCATGCAGGTGGCAGCCTTTCCCTGAAAAAATATGGATCAGATGAAGTGATCCAGTGGAGAGTCACCAAGACAAGCAGGGGCTGGCACATGTGACTGTGAGAGAAGTGCGAGGGAACTATCCATGCTCAGCCTGGAGAAGGGAAGGCTAAGGCTCATACATGGAAAAAAGCTTACCAGTGAGGACAAGGCAAGGCAGTGGAGCAGGTTCCATTGTGCAGGCTCCATCCTCAGGAGCTTTCAGGACCCAACTGCTGAGCTGCCTGGTCTGATCCCAGAAGCAGTGAGCTGACAGCAGGGGACTGCGCTGAAGGTGTTGCTGACATTGGCTGAGTGCTAGAGACACCCAGGTCCTGAGCTCAATCCCCATATAGGCCACTCACTTAAGGGTTCAACTTGATGATCCTCGTGGGTCCCTTCCAACTCAGGATATTCTGTGACTCTATGCAATTTTCAGTCACAGCTTAGCAGAGACACAACTGGCTCTCAGCTGTTCAAACCCTGTGTATGCTTCTCCACAATCTGCATTCAAAACACCACCTTTACATTCCTGTTTTCACAACAGAGTACCTACTGAGTGCTAGAATTTCTGCTGCTAGCCTGGGACTAACTGTCCTAAATAAGCAGTGAGATTATTTGCAAGAACTCATAAAGCAGCTTCACAAGGAAATGCAATAGGACTACACTAAAAAAAATAATGAGGCAACATCCTGTGAAGCAAAGGCACTCTAGTAGGGCACATGTAAGAAACAAAGACTAAGGTTTGCTGTGATTCAAATGAAAAGGTATTTGCTGTCTTTTCAAATATAATGCCTGGCCTTTACATGCTCCAGGTCCCTCTGGGAACAGCCAATACTGGTACCACAGTAAGAACATTTGGCCAAAGTCAGGAGGAGTTAGGGTGTCATTTGGAGCCTGGACATCCAGGCTTTTTTTTTTTTTTTCCTAGCAAACAGCACACCTGTCCAAGTCATGACCTAAAAGCTTTTCCTTGAGAAAACTGTGGGAAATTATGTCAATGGCTTTACTAAACCCCAGGTAGACAACATCCACAGCCTTTCACTCACCCACCAAGCAGGTCATGTTGTCACAGAAGCCAGGTTGCTCAAGCAGGACTTGTCTTTCACACACCCATGTTGGCTGGGCCTGATCCCTGGTTGATCTGCACATGCCACATTATGGCACTCAGGATGGTTTGCTCTATTTGCTCCATCACCTTTCGAGGTACCTGAGACTTTTCCTCATTCTTTGTCTCTAGATTTGCCCAGATATACAATAAAGGAGATTCTCTTTAGCCCTTGTTTTGTGGTTAATGTATTTATAGAAACATTTGTTTTATTGTATTTTACAGCAGTGGCCAGATGGGCTTCCATTCTTCTCATTTTCTCTCTGCCTCATTAGATCCTTGTTGGTTTCCTGACTTGCTGCCCCTTCTTCCAAATGTTACCGTGGGAACCCAGGGCAGGGGGAATATCCCCTTGTCTGCCCTGGGGTGCTCTGACTCCCAGGAAAACACTGACTTTAACCCTCATTTGTGGAGAAGGCCTCCTAAGCCTCAAAGTAAACTAGAGACCACAAAAGTGTGAAATAGATTGTAGAAATTGTAGAGAGTAGTTTAGTATGTCACATGGGTGAGAAATTAGATTTTAGGATTTTTAACATATTGTAGATAGGCACAAGATGGAGGGTACAGGGTGTTGTCTTAAGTTCCTTTCTTCTTCCTTCTTCTTCCTTCTTCTTGGGTTTGGGTGACATCTTGTTTGGGCAGAAAAATCCTCATTGCGGGTCTTTAGGGGTCAGTTATTGGGTTAGAAAAGGTAATAATCTAGGTGTCACTTCTTAATTGGGTAGTTTAGTTTTTGATTAGACTTTAAAAGACCTTACAGAAGGAGTTTGTTAGCCACTTTTGTGCTATTTTCAGGCATACAAGGTCTGGGTGTAGACAATGTGCTGAAGTCATGATAAGATAACAGTAAAACAAGAACTTGAAGACCGAAAAAGTCCTGTGGGTCTGCTTTTCCTGCTTCAGGAGAGTTTCCCCCTGCCAGGGGAGCCCCCAGGGAATTGGCTGATGTGGGGCCCACAAACTCACAGCTGATGCCCCAGTGTGAGGAAAATCCAGTTCTTCAGCTCTTCAGAGATCACCCCACGAAGTCCCTGAAAGAGAGCCAGAGGTGAAAAGACTCAGCCATTCAACATCTCGGTTCCTGGTGGCCACAGGAGTCACATCCCATGCTCTGCTGGATGAATGTCAAGAGCTGAACTCCAAATTTGGTGAAGGCAACAAAAATGGGAGGGAATCTTGCCAAAAGTGATTTGGACACACTCCAAAAATTAGAATCCCTAGTGAAACAGCACAAATTAAAAGTGGACAAAAAGGATTTGGAAAATTTATTGCTTTGGGCAAAGGAAAATTACCCATCTCTTCAAGAGAAAGATTTCTTTCAACCCTGGTTTTGGTCAGATGATACCAAGCTATATGAGGACGTGGTAGCCCACGATCCAAATGCAGCAGCGTTGTTTGCGGCTTCTAGAGCGTTCTATCAAGTTACATATGATGCAAAATATTTTCAAACTGCTACATATCACAAAAAAATAATCCTCAGACACCTGAGAGTTTTTCCCCGGGGGAAGAAGAGCAGGAGCCTGCTGTCCCAGAAAGTGGATTTCTGGAGAAGTCCCCTGAAACTCGCCATCCTACCAAGGCTCGGGAAAAAGTTACATTGGGGAGGGCGGAGATACATCCGAGAGGGAGGGCGAAGCGGGAGAGGAGACGGGAAGGGGAAGGAGAAAATAAAGGAAATGCGTCTCTGGAGGACCCCGAAAGACAGCGGCTTCCTCGTTTAAAATTACTTATTGGTAAAGATGATGAAGAGGACACGTCTTTTTATGAATTTCTTACATCTCTGTATATCCCTGAGGTGGGAGAAGGGGGGTTGGAGGGGCCTTTCCGTTCCACTTTCCCCGCCCCGGTGCCAACTCTGGGAGGTGTCACAGGCGCCCAAGGTGCTCGTGGCAACGCCTTTGGCTGCCACCCTCAAAAAAAGACGGCACAAGGGCACGTCCAGCCGGTTGCAATAGTCATCATTCCACGAAAAATGGACACGTCATGCCAAGGCACAACACACATTGGACAGGACATCAGCACTCAAGCCATGGAGGATCAACAACAACAACAATAACAATTTCCTGCATCACAGGAGGGCAGCAACGCGAATGTAATCTCCATCACAGCAGGACAAGGCATTCCTATTTCGTCCAAAGAGACACCTGGCTTCTGGACACCAACAGACACTTCCCCTGGACATTGGCTCAGCTTTTGCTGAGTGGCAGCTGTGGTGTCAGGATGAAGCTGTGTGTGGGGTCTGTGAGAGGCTCTCCCAGGGATGGAGGCTGGAATTAACCAGGCTAGGGGATGCTGCATGGCTGCCTTGGCCGGGTCCCCGCCCAGGTGGCTGCTCCACTACTTGCCTTCTCCTGGCTCCTAAGAGTCACTGTGGGACTGGGGTGTCCCCGGGGGCTCCTGTGGCTCCCTGGCTCAGGGCAGTTGCATCTGCGGGCTTCTCCATCTCCCCCATCCTTATCCCTCCCACATACTGGGCATCCTGAAGTGTGATGCCCATAGCCCAGAGGGGTTTGGGATCTGTTCCCCAGCCTGTCCCACAGCCCAGGGGGGTTGCAGCCCCCACAAGCACTTGTGGGAGCCAGAAGGGGACTGGGACACAAGAGCAGGAGCCCTGCCAGCACAGGATGGTTACAGTGGCTGCCTCATGGAGCAGCAGATGGGACTCAGCAATGCCATGCTGAGGAACAGCCCCAATCCCCCCAGGTGCAGAGAGGGATGTGATGGCCCCATCTTCCATGGTGCCTGCACCCCAGGGCTTCTCCACCCACCCTCTCATCCAGGGCAGGGCATAGCCATTGTGCCAGGTATTCCCTGGGCAGAACTGAGACTGACTGTAGCTCTCTAGCCCTTCACCAGGCAGGAAGGGGGTGAGGAATGGATCCTGCCCTTCACGGGCACTGGGGCTACCTCCTTTCCCTCCCTCCTCATCCCACAGGTGCCCTCTACACCCCTGGGCAGCACCATCCCCAGCATGCAGGTGACACTGGGCAGCCTTGATGTACTTTAATAAACTCTAGGGTCCCAGATCCAGCTATGGGAAGAGCTGGTTCCAGCCCAGGCAGTGCTCCTGACTCAACTTGGGACACCAGGAGCCCCAGTAAGGCCAGCACAGGGCCATGCAGTTCCCAAAGCAGGTCACAGAGACGAGCCTCCCGGGAGGTATCACATGTACATGCAGTGGTGTGGGGCTGTCAGAGCAGGGAGCTGCACCCAGCACAGCAGTTGTTCCCCCATCTCAGCCCAAGCCCCCACTCTTCCCAGTGACAGGGGCCAGTGCTTGGGACGGCCATCGCACCTCCCTGGTGTCGACACCAAGGGGACTGAGCACCACGCAGGTGAAGTTGGTGTGCAGGTGCTGGTTGTCGAAGGAGCTGAAGTGCAGGTCACGGCGCAGGGTCAAGCCCGAGCCCTGCCGTTCCTCTCTGTGGACCCAGCGGGGACCGGTCAGCGCCCACTCCAGATGGGCAGACCCCTGGCCCAGCCAGGGCTGCCCTGCTGTCACTGCCCCCCTGTCCCCATACTCACTGCACTGTCCCCTCACGCACAGCCCCGTCCGGGTGCAGGCTTTCCACGAAGGAGCCATTCTCCAGCCAGTAGAGCAGCGTCAACTCTGGGAGCTCACTCAACGCTTCACATGACACAGTCACACTCTCACCTGCAGCCGCAGGGGGTGTGAAAGTCGGGGGGCTGCAAGGGTCTCCAGTGCTCCCCAGGCACAGACACAGCCCCTCTCCTAACTAAGGGGAACATTCCCCCACCTCATCAGCACCCCAAAATCTTGGCTGTGGGTGGAGGATTCACCTTGTGTGTGCTGGAGGCTGGCACAGGAGCTGACCCCCACTGCAGCCTCCTCACTCTTAGGCCCTGCCATGGCCCTGAGGGTCTCTCACCTGGGCGAGGAAGCTCTGCTGGCATCCGCAGGATGGTGATGCTGGGCGGCTGCAAGGCCATGGCACCTGGGGGAGCAGAGAGGGGTGAGGTGAGAGATCGAGAGTGACCCTGAGATCACACAATTTTTAAGTGGATGAGGAGGCAGGGTCCCACAAAGAGACAGAAGCACTGCTCATCCCCAGACCCCTGAACAGGACTTTTGAGGGGCATAGAGCCCAGGCTTGACCTTAGGCTCCCCGGCCCCCCAGTAACCCCCATTTACCTGTGCAGCAAGCAGCCAGGCCCCAGCAGAGCAGGAGGGTCCATGCAGGGCTTCTCAGGGGCTCTGCAGACAAAAATGGAGCTCAGTGCTGGGCACACAGGGATGCTCCCCATGAGCTTGGGATGGTTCCCCCAGCATTCCTGTATCTGCGATGGTCCCGTCCTTTCAGCATCTTCCCAGCTGGCCATGGTACCCCCAGGACTGCCCAAGTCGATGATCCCGTACCCTCGTATCCGCCCAGCACCCCCCGAGTCTGGGATACCCCGTACCCCCCAGCATCCTCCTCCCGGGGTCACTCAAGTCGCGGCTGGCGCCCCCCAAGGCTGTCCGCCCACCGCTCCGGTACATACGGAGAGCCCGTGGCTCAGGCACGGGGCGGCGGCGCTCGGGACCGCGGCGCTTTATGCGGCGGCCCGGGGCGGGGCGGGAGGCAGCGCTGTGACTCACCGGGAGCCGCCCTCGGCCCCGGCGACGCGGCGCGGCGCCACTGCACGGGGACCCCCACCTGGACGCTGATGTGTGTCGATGGGTCCTGTCCCGACGTGTCCCGAGCCCTCCGAACATGCCTTGTGTCCCCAGCACTCCATGCCCCCTGCGCTCTGTGTCGCCTGCACCTGGGGATGCGCATTCCTCAGGCACTCCCATGATCGGCATCCCATGACACCCCCCCCCCGACCCCTGGGGAGCATCCGTGGGCTCGACAGGGATGGAGAAATGGAGCCCAGCTGGGCCCCCAGTGTCTAGCACAGGATTCTGAACATGCTGGTTTGCTCCACAATGCTTTGGGATCAGGGACAAGGCAGGGAGTGCACAGGAGGAAAGTGGGTGAAGCCCCCAGGAGTCTGAGTACAACAGTGGCTGGGGGAGCCTGGGTGTTGGCCCCTGGGTGTCCCAGCTGGTGGAGGACAACAGCTGTTCAGATAAAAATCCCCAGAGCTTTAGTTCTTGGCTGCAAGAAGCCGTCTCCTGTGTCCCACAGCAGTCCCCCCACCCCCAGAGCCAGCCCCTTGACAGCAGATATGGTTTCGACAACCCACTGGTTACAAAACCAGGGGCGAGGCCCCACACCCCACTAGCGTCAAGGCTGGGAGCCAGTGCAGGTACAGCAATAGGGCAGAAGTAGCCACCTGAGTCACAGGCCCTGACAAGTCTTGGAAAAAAGTCCCTAAACTCCCAGTGAGTTTTGTGATACACTCCCAGCAGAGAAGGAAGATGGCAGGAACAGGAGTGCTATCTTGGAGACCTGGCAAGTGCAATACTTCCCAGCAGTGGCTGCGTCCTCCTCACAGCAACCCCGTCTGTCAACACAGGCAGCTCCCAGGGCAGCACCCAGCTCCTCTGCCACCTTCTTGCTCCCACCAATACCAATCAGTTTAGCTCTGGATACTACTGGGTGAAAGAGGTGGACAGGGAATGCAGATGGCTGCTTAGTCATCATCCACCCAATAGCCTTCCCCTAGGAGCAATGAAAGGAGAAACTTTCCATGCCCTGCAGCAAGGAAGACGATCAAGAAAAACCCAGGGCCACATCTCCATTTCCAGGGCTCTTATTTTGGTGTTTGGCACAACACTGCAATGTGGTTTCACCCAAAAGAAAACTGAGGATGCAACACAGTGCTGGGGCTCCCCAGGGGGAACACAGCCCACACAGCACCCACAGCCATACCACCACTGTGGCCACTTCCCAAATCCTGAGCCAGAAGCTGCCTTGTAGCCCTCCACCAGACCCCAGTGCCCTCAGGGAATATGACTCAAGTCTCCACATGCCAAAATACCACCACTGGCCCTGGGATTGGGGACTTTGCCCCCACCCACTACCAAAACTTGAGCCCAAGACCACTTGCCCCAGCAGGACTTTGGCATGGCTCCTCTACCCGCAAAGTCAGGAGGATGTCATGGAGTAATGCTGGGGCAGGGAAACACCAGCACCAGCCCAACCTTCACTCCATCCCTTTTATTCCAGTGCCAAGTGAGGGCGGATTTACGCAGTGAGGGCGGACCTGCGCCCTGGGGCAGGGGCACCCGCTCTTGGCTGCTCGTGATGTACCATTGCTGTCACCCTAAAGGGCACAGAGAGGAACAGCACTGGCCCCACTCCATGCCTTGGCTGACCCCCCTGAGCAGTCAGGGGACACCGCTGGACTCCAGGGAGGAACACAGAAAATTTGGGAGCATATAAAAGGGTTCCCCAAGGCAGAGCCCACCATCACCATGCTGGAGAGCAGCCTGGTTCCTGCTGGCATACTCATGGTGCCCAGAGCAGACCTGGCAGCTGGGGATAGCCAGGTGACCTTCCATCCTCTTTTTCAGGGCACTGGGCTCCAGCCTCTCCTCTGCAGCCCCCATGTCCCATCCTCGCTGCCAGCAAGGCTGCTCCAGGGTGCTGGCACTGGGAGCTGACAAAGCCTTGGCCCTTCTCGCCATGGCCTCCCCCGACAGAGTGGCAGGAAGGAGCTGGAGAACAGCCCTCAGCCCAAAGCTCAGCCCAGCAGGGCGCTGCAAAGGGCTGGACAGGGACAGGGAAAGGGGACAAGCATCTCTTTTTGGCTGCAATAGAAAGTTTTAAATATGCTCATTAAAATAATTGCTTTTTAAAAAAATCCTCCCCTAGCCCCAGCAGGAGGGGCCCCGACGTTGCTGTCCTTGGTGGTGGTCAAGGTCCTGAGAGGTGACGGAGCAAAGCCAGCACCTCTGGTGGCAATGTCCTCTCGTGGTTCCGTGGCTCCCCACCGCCTGCCCTTACTCCAGCCCGAGGATGTAGTTGATTCCCTGGACCAGTCCAATGATCACCGGCTGCCAGGCCACCAAGTAGCGCAGCCAGTCCAGCAGCTGCCCGTACATGACATGCGGCCTCTCCCAGCTGGGGGGGAAGGAGTTAAAGAGTCATGGAGAAATGGATGAGAGGAGCATGGCCCACCCAGAAGCCACCCAAAGGTGCCCCAAAGCAGGGACAGAGAACACAGGTGCCCAGGGAGGGACAGACAAGCACCCAGGGAAGGACAGACATGAGTCCTCACAGGCTGTAGCCAGGCTTCACTTGGGTTTTGCAGCAGCCACACGCTGCAGCAACTTACTCAGGGTACCAGGCAAGCTTCTCACCCCTTGTGTGCTCTACCCACAGCTTCCCTTCCCAAAGTGCTGGCTACCAGTGGAAGAAAGGATACGGATTACTGAACATCCTCTTGAGATCCACCTTCTCTTTGCAGTATGGACACGTCTGCTTCTTCCCGACAATGCACCAGCCCCGGATGCAGAACTCGTGAAACCTGGGGAGTGGCATGTTAAGGGGAACTGGAAGAAGAGGGGGATACATGGCTCAGCGTGGAGGAAACCACCAAGGCCAAGGAAGTCCCCCCAGAGCCATGGAAACATCCCCCCATGAGAGGATGGTGCATTGCACAATCACAATTCCTATAAGGTGCAGCAGCAGCTTCCAAGGACAGCGGAAGGAGCTCACGGGGCAGCAGAACAGAGCCAGGGTGGCAGCGTGAAGGCCCTGACCTTCACTGAAACAGAAATTGAAACTCTTCAGTGATGGTGCCCAAGCACTGAGAAGGTTTGAATAGACTGGGAGAGATCTGTGAACTGCATGCATTTTGGAAGCCTTCTTCAAAGGCTTCCTGGAGATTAACATTTAAAGAATTTCCCTGTAAGTAAGGGTCTGACTTACAGGTGCTTACTATGCTCTGTCACAAGGATTTGCACAACCTGAGCACAGCCTGGCAAAGTTACAGGAAAACATGAGGTGGCTGTAGCTGACTCTGCCACACACAGAGGTGTCACAGAGCAAATAGACCTTCCCCAGAATATCTCTGCCACTCAAACCATGGAAGAATGCCAGGCAGCAGGAACAGGAGTCACTTCCTTGTCAGCCCTGGCGCCATAGATGCAGGAGTGCCCAGTCAGCAGTGACCCCTGAGGACCACCAGGAGCACCAACCAGCTCCTCTGGCAGCCACACCACCCCAAGCTGTTGCAGTCCCAGGCCCTTGCACAGTGTCAGCCATAAATCTCACCAACAGCTCCCAAGAGTTAAATTTAGGCTCCTGTTTTGCCAGCATGACCTTTGCTCAGGCCCAGTTTGGAAACCACCTCGCAAGCAGTAACACACACAGTGCCAGAGGACATCCCATCTCTACACTGAATCACCACGGGGAAAAAACCCTGACTTGCTGCCCCAGCCAGGACTGAGCACCAACCAGGACTTCCAGTTTTAAAACCCACTTCCCATCAATCAGCTGACACAAAGGGCTGAGTGACTCCAGCGTGCTGGAAACCCTGGAGGAGTTCTAGAGAAGGAAGAAGCTGCTGGGCTGAAACCAGAGCAGGTAGCAACCAGCAGTGCTGGACCAGGGGGCTGTTTTCAGAGGGGGCCAGCAGTGTTTCCCCACGGTTCTTCCTTACAGACACTCAGGACCCACCCAGTGTGGCATGGAGCAGGAATGCCTCATGTCCTGACCTCACACCATCACTTCCACCAGAATATCTGCTGGAGGCACTGCCAGCCAGATGGGTCGCAGCAGATTTGTCAAGAGCAGGTAAAAACTGCTTTTGACAAATCTGTGCAGCTCCATGACTCAGCAGAGGGAGCTGGGGATGAGAAGGAAGAGGAAACAACCACTTGTGAGTGTCATCAAAGTAATTTCAGCAACACCTCTTCCCATGCCAAGTCAGCGATGACACAGGCACAGATCACATGCAAATTCAGCCAGACAGCCCCAAGTCCCAGAACAGGAATTTCTTCACCCAGTGCGGGAGAAGCCATGGGGCAGGAGCTCCCTGCTGGCCACCCCAGCATAGGGCTAGTGAGGCAGGGGGCTGGCACCTGCAGAGAAGGATACACGTGGTTGCAGGAGAGGCGGTAGGTGTTCTCGATGATCCCTTCCTCATTGACATCCACGAAGATCTGCTGGCCACAGACAGCACAGACGCTGTCAGAGAGGTGCTTGGTGGGCATCCCTGAGGCGCTGTAGAACTGAGCAAGGGCAGAACAGAGGGAGAGCAGTGACAGTGGCAGGGCACGTGTCCCACACCCATGGTGGCAGAGCTAAGCTCTAAGGAGGGCTGGGGTCAGGGCCCCAGCAGTCCAGCTTTGGCCTTTGGGGCTTAAAACCTTGTTACAGGTTTGGCTGCAGGAAACAACTACAACAGGACAGCTGCTCAGTGATGCAGTGGCCCATCTCACCCCAGCCCCATGCACCCCCTCCCCATGTCAAGGGGCCAGCCCTCTTTGCTCCCCAACAGCCAGGTGCGTTTTCAGCTGCCTGCCAGGGATGTGCACCCAGGGCAGAGACTGGGGGAGAGAGCAGGACAAGCTGGAGGTCACAGCTTTGACCCAAAATGACAACCTTGGACTGCCAGTCAGACACAGCCCCACCTCCAGCCCTGCAGGTCCCTGGCACTCATTCAGCAAAGCAC